GCGGCGAGGCTGGGGAAGGCGAGCGACGGCGGCTCTGGAGTCTCGGCGACGGCGGCTGGACCTGGCGGTGAAGCTGGACGGGAAAGACGAAGAAGAAAGAAGAAGAAGGAGAAGAAAAAGAAGAAGAAAAAGAAGAAGAAGGAAGAAGGAGAACGGGAAGAGGAAGAAGAAAGAAGATAAGGGTTTTGTGGCTGAAATTAGTTTAGGTTTATTTAATAGTCCCATTCCAAAAAGGATTGGGCTTCGGACCCAAAATACCTGATTAAATTGTCATAACTTGAGCTCTGTAACTCCGATTCACGAGCCGTCTGAACCGACGCGATCACAAAAATATTTCCTACGAGATGACATAAAAGTTGGGCTTAAAATCCAAATTATAATTTTAACCCCTTATTGGACCCAATTCGTAATCAATTGCTCTAACAATTTAATTAATTCTTTTGGGCCAGATTTCGGGGTGTTACACTGTCGTTGGGGACGAAGGAGAGGAACAGTGGCTGTTTGGGAAGGAGAGGGGTTGGCGGATGGCTGGTCGCCCTCTGGCTCCGGTTCGGCGGTTTGTGCGACCGGAGTAGTTGCCGCCGGTTGGATGCACAGTGATACCAGAGGGGGATCGGGCAGGGGCATTTTAGGAAAATCAGCCATTTGAGTGGGGGTGGTAGGTTCGGCCGGCGTGTGATGAGTGGCAAACAGGAAATGGCTCTCATCAAAAGCTATGTCCCGAGTGTGAAAAAACGGTGAGAGTCAAGATCATACACACGCCAACCTTTAGTGCCGGAGGGGTACCCAACAAACATACACTTGGTGCTGCGAGGAGAAAAATTTATTAGAGGTTTTCAGACGAACAAACACAAACACCCAAAAATTTTGAGATAACTAAGATCAGGTGCTTTGTGATTCAGAATCTCAAAAGGAGATTTTCCCCCAAGGAGTTTGTTGGGAGTCCGGTTAATGAGATACACAACTGTACGAACACATTCCCCCCCCCCAAAATTCAATAGGTAAATGAGCTTGAAACATGAGTGAGCGGGCGACGTTTAAAATGTGTCTATGCTTACGTTCCACCCGACCATTTTGTTGGGGAGTACCAACGCAAGATGTTTGAACAAGAACGCCCAAGGACGCATAATATGTGCGAAGCTCCCGATTGACAAATTCAGTTCCATTATCTGAACGTACAATTTTGATGATTTTATGGAATTGATTCTGAATCATGGCAAAAAAATGTTTCAAGCAACTAGGCACTTCAGATTTATCAATAATTAGATAAGCCCAAACGGCTCGAGAATGATCATCCACAATAGTGAGAAAATAATGAGCATCAGTAGCTAAACAAGGGGTGTAGGGTCCCCACAAATCACAGTGAATTAAATCAAAAACACTAGTAGCTAAACAAAGGGTGTACAAACTTATTTAGACTGAAAACAAATTTCACAAGACTGTAACAGTTTAATTTTATTACTACTAGGAGAAGGAATAAGAGACGACAAAACTTGAGTAGACGGGTGACCCAAGCGTTTGTGAAGAAGAATGGGGTCCACTTGGGTCGCAGCCGCGGTAGAAGAAGGACGAAATAGGAAGATTCCGTTGAATGCATCACCCCGTCCAATCTCCATCTTCGTTGCACAATCCTGTATCACACAACAATTGTCGTTAAAAATTACAAAACAGGATGCATCCCGAATAAGACACCCAACAGAAATAAGATTGCACTGTAAATGAGGAACGAGCAAAACGTCCCGAAGGACCACCTCGGCCGAGAGTCGCACGTGGCCGCATCGAGTGGCAGTAGTGCGCGTACCATTGGGTAGCGTGATGACGCAAGGGCTCATAGAAACCACATTAGACAAATATGAGATATTACCGGTCATGAGATGAGAAGCGCCGCTATCAATAAGCCACTCACGAGAAGAAGAATCCCCGCTAGGGCCAGAAACCTTTTCAGATGGAGAAGAATCAAGCATGGAAAGCAGGCGCGTCATTTGATCGGGTGTGAGGCCGAGGGTGTTGGAATTCGTCGCCAAGTGTGCTCCCCCTGTCGCCGTGCCAGACCCATGGCCACGAGCTCCACTGCCGCTGGTAGTGCCACGGCCGCCACTCCGTCCTCCTCGGCTGGGTGTGCTGCCACGACCCCGGCCCTTCCCCGGAGGGTACCCATGTATTTAATAACATCTATCCACCGAATGCCCATCCTTCCCGCAATGAGTACACGAATAATGAGGCGGATCACCACGACCCGCGGGAAGTGTGGGGCGCTGCATGGCAAAGGCCACCGCGTCCGTGCGGTCATCCCGACCGCGGACGATACTCTTGTGCTGTTCTTCTTGGACAATCAATGCATACGCCCGGTGTTTATCCGGAACAGGTTCGGTAGCTATGATCTGAGAACGGATGTGACCAAACTGTTCATCATCTAGACCAAGTAAAAAATGATGAGTTTTCTCCTGCTCTTCCTGAGCACGGATCAAGGCCGCGGCTTCACAGCGACAGCCGCAGGTGGGATCAACAGAACCATATAATTTGTTCCACAAAGTCACAAACTGGTTATAATAACCAACCACAGTTTGACCTTTTTGACGCAGAGATTGGAACTCGGATTTTAATTGATGCACACGAGGACCATTGGATCCCCCATATCGAGTCTTCAAATCCAACCACAATTCATGAGCAACCTTATGAGAAATAATTGACGGTTGAATATGTTCATCAACGTTATTACATATCCAAGAACAGATGATGGAATTGTTGGCTTTCCATGCCGCAAGTTCCTGTTCATCAGTAGACTTTGGAAACCCGGAAGGAATCAAAAAACCTGCACAACTTCGCCCCTCTAGAGCGTTCACAATAGTTTTCTCCCAAACATCATAATTATCACCCTTAAGAAGATGTTTTGTGAGAGAATTACCTGCGCTTTCCGACGGATGAATGTAATAGGGTGACGTTGGATCGTGGATGAGCCGTACCTTCTTTGGTGTTTCGGCTTCCATGGTGACGTGAGGCACTGGTGATGTGTCCGACGTGAGCCGGTGTCGTGGTGGAGATCGACGTGAGCCGATCGGTGACCGTCGTGAGCCGGTCAAAGCAGTGCTGGCGACGGCACGAAGGAAAAACCGAGCCTAGGGTTTAAACGAATCCCGGGAAATTGGCTTTGATACCATGTAGAAATTTGTAAAACGTTGAATTGTTTTCCATTGAGTATTCACATCGTATAAATACAAGTAGGTTAACTAGGCTATGTTGGGCCAAGCCCGATTACATACAAGGAAAGATACATACATGGAAAGAATATACAAAAATGTAAAGTAGAACTACATATGTCAACACTCTTCTCATACCCATCTTAATACGGGATATTGCGTATTTTCCCTCGAACCAAACGCACTCTATCTTGATCTATTACTGGGAAAGAGGAAGAGAGAAAAAAGAGGGGTCAAAATAAAAAATTTAAATTTATCAAATTATAATTTGACCCCAAATGACCTGAATGTGACCTATAAACCGCCTATTGGACCACCGGTGAAAGAATGTTGAAAGTTTGTATACTTTTGTGAAAGAAATTAAAGTTTATATACCGAAGTGAAATAATGATGAAAGTTCGTATACTATAGGTGAAATTTACCCCTAATTTCGGGAATAAAAACATGAAAGTCCTATTTTAGTATATTTTCAATGTTTTAGTTCTACTATAGTCTTTCTCCCTTTTAAGTATTATTTTAGGAATAAAAACATGAAAGTCTTATTTTAGTACATTTGTAATGTTTTAGTACTCCCTCCGTCCTATATCTTCCTTCTCAGAACACTATTCCAACTTCACGGGAATTTATATTTATTTGTGTTTTTTCATGACCTATATGATAAAATAAAATATTCTTGTCACCACTTGTTTTGTTGAACTTTTGATGTAGTTTTTAAATATGTATGTTTTTTTATTTCTATACCAATATTTAAATAAAATAGATTGAAAAAACTTGAGATTTTTCTTCGTTTTGCGCAACGGGAAAAAAAGATATATGACGGAGGGAGTACTACTTTGGTCTTTGGGAGAAAGACCAAAGTAGGACTAAAACATTGAAAATATACCAAAATAGGACTTTCATGTTTTTATTTCCGAAATAGGACTTACACTACCAAACATGGTCATATACATTATTAAAAAAGTATAGTAATGTGCACATGTACACTGCCACATTACCACAGTACAAAGTCACATTACCACAGTGCAAGGTCCTATTTCGGGGAAAAAACATTAAAGTTCTATTTTAGTACGGAGTATAAGATTTTTTTCAATGTTTTAGTTCTATTTAAGGTGATTTCTATTGGTCTTTTACGTACCATAAAAAATCAAATAAACATAACATTTCCAAACGGAGGCACTACTAATTTTCACGTCAAATCCCGCATTCATTTCAGTTTATTTCAAAATAACGGGAGTAAAACATTTCATAATATACGCTTTTGAAAGTGAATATTGATTTCACATATACGCAGTACGAGTAAAACACTTTTCCTAAGACACGCGTTTTAGACACGCGTTCAGTGGACCCGCCGGAAGACGGACCCTTTCATTACAGAGATGCAACGCCGGCGGCGACTTTATTACCATTCACTCGGCTACAAACATCCCGGATCTCAAGCTGCACGCCGCGGGACGGCGGCAGGTTGCTCATCTTCACCATCGCCGCCGCGAAATCGGCCAGAAATGCGCCCATGGCGTCCCTGTACCGCCTGACGGCGGCGCCGGTCGTGCTTCCCTTCATCAGCTCATTGTCCGAAAACAAGAGGCCGCGACCGTTAGCCACGTCGGCATAATAGCGTTGGTCGAAAGCCGCAGGAGTGGGGTCCAGGCCGACCAGGCCCGTGGCGTTCGGGGTCGTTTGGCAGTTGCATTGCACGGCGGCAGCCGCCGCACGAGCCGGATTGATCACGGCGGCGACGCATAAAAGCGGGCATCTCACGAACCCGATCGTGTGGGAACCTAATAACGCCACCATCTCCGTTTGGTTAAATCCCTTCGCGGCGAATTTTCTGGTCTGTGAAGCCAAGTCCTCCGCCGGACCGACAAGCTGGGTGTTAGCTCCGGTGAGGTTGGCCGTTCTTGCATCCTTTCTACCTAGAGTCACCGTGTATGTTTTGCCGGTGAACTGCCAAACCAATTAAAGTTTTGTAAATGAAACAATAAAAAATCAAATTCACATTCATCACCTCAAGGAAAATATGTATACTCCGCAAGAAAATGTCTTCCCTTATCCTCATTTCTTGGTCAATCTTTTAAAATTTTGATTACAAATAACAAAAAATATATTGAATTATACTAACTACCTCCCATTAAATTTTCAAAAAAGGTACTCTTAAAATGTAAAATTTTTATATTATTTTTTAATTTTACCTTTATTTAATAACCTACTTTTAGGTGTGCCTTCATTTGTATTTGAAAGATTTTGTGGGACGGAAAAAGTAATACATTTAATATTTCCTATAAAGATATTTATCTTAAAATATGGAGTAATTTTAAAATATGATATTTTCATAAGAATAATATATTTACCTATAAATGAAGATATATTATAAAACCCAAGAGGATGAAGGGAGTACTTTCAACTCCAAAAAAGTACTCCATCAGTCCATCCATCTTTCCCAAATTAATTTAATATTTTTCATTTCCTTTTTGAGATGTCTCTACAAAATAGTTTTATTTCCATTTTTAAAAAACTTTGTATCTCATATTCTTCTCTATTCTTTGTATTATTTTAAACTACAAAATTTTACTTTTTAAGATTTTGTGCAAAATCAAATGTGAACTATTGATTTAAGATGGAGAGAGTATCTTTCTTTCCCATATCACTTTCCCCAAAAATTATAAAAAATATTATAAAATGTTATGCAAATTTAATACCAAAAAATTCATTTTGAAACATGATTTTAGATATCACTCCCTCCGTCCTAAAATGTTCTTCCCAATTACTTTTCACACGGTCAAACTTTAATAACTTTCTTTACCTATTTTCATTAGGTATTTGATAAAATAATATTATCTTGTCACCACTTATTTTGTATAACTTTTGACGTAGTTTTTAAATTTATAAATTTTATTTTTAAATTTTACACCTACAGTCAAATAAATTGAATTGAAAATAAAGTTGGTCAAACATCGTAAACACAAACGAGAAGAACATTATAGGACGCAGGGAATATATTTTTATCCCTCTCATGCCGGAGTGTTTGTCAAATTTTGAACTTTTTCGTAAAATGTAGACAAATTTGACCATTATTATATAAAACTTATGTCAACTATAATTTAACACTTCCTTAATTTTACACTTGATCAAAATAAAAATTCTCTTTTAGAACGGGGGGAGTAAGTAATACTCCCTCCGTTCCACAAAACCTTTCGGTTTTGACTTTGGGGGAAAATAAGGAAAATGTAATTTTTGTTGACTTTCCAATTTTGCCCTGATGTGATGGTAAAAAGTAAGATGTGATAGTTTGGTTATTAGTGATAAAGTATGATGTGATAGGCAGGGTATGAAAAATTAGGGGTAAAAGTGGTTTTTTAATAGAAAGTGGAAGTGTTTTGTGGAAAGCAAAAAAAACGAAAAAGGAAGGATTTTGTAGAACGGAGAGTAAGTGGAAGAGAAAAGACGGTTACTTTGTGGAAAGAATCACGAGCAGCAATGGAGACAATGTCAGCGCACGACACGGGGGTGTCGGGACATTTAGTTTTGGCGTTCTGTTTGGCCCTGTCTATAACTTCATAACCTCTAACGGAGTTTTGGTTGGCGCCGGCACTCTGTTCTCCGATGAAAGTCGGGGTATCCTTCAAAAGAAGACCTGCATCGCAGCCCTGGTAGTCCATTTTAACGAAGGCATCATTATTAATCATTTGTTAAAATAACATAAATATCATTGAATTACGTCCCTATTTAAATCGCATACTGTTTACGATATTTGACTGAATCTATTTTTAATATATTTTATTTGAAATTAAAATTGGTGTTGACTAAAAAAAATAAATAATATATTTAAAAACTATATCGAAAAATCTACAAAACAATTAAGAGGTGGCAAGACTATATAACTATTTTTCAAAATAGGTAGTGAAAATGGATAAAAAAAATTGTGATTAAAGTTTGACTCTGTAAATAGTAAAAAGAAAACTTAAATTTGAGTCATAGAGACTAAATTTTTTAGATATAAACAGAATAAATTTTATTTTCTAATCTTACACTAATATTTAAATATGCTAAAAACTACTCCCTCCGTCCCCCATAGATCTTCCCAATAGCCCTTTTTCTTTGTCCACAATAGATCTTCTCATTTCATTTTTTAACAATTAAAATACCACAACTACCCCCACTTACTTTATTTATTACACCTCACTCACCTCATTTAATACACTCCACCCATTTTTCATTAAGGGTATTATAGTAAACTTTCACCTTTTTTCAACTCTTCTTAAAAACCACCAAAAGTCAAAATGAGAACATCTTAGGGGGACGGTGGGAGTATTTAGGACTAGAAAAAAGTATTCTTTTTTCAGAAGAAGTTAATGTTTCAAAAATGTTAGAGGTACACTAAAAAAATATGTCCCAGGTGTATTCCAACATATTTCACACTACATTATTTAAATATTGATAAAAAAATTAATAAATAAATATATATAGAATCAATGATTAACAATGATCACTACGATAAATGGTGTACCGGTAGCATGACTATATTGATGTTTTTCAATTGCAAATGGAGCTATAAGGTCCGGACTCTGGAATAAGTTTATAAATTGAGACAATTACAAACCCTCCTTTCAAAAAATAAAAAATTGCACACACAAGAACCAAGTGGATGCATGTATTCTCCAAAAGGTGAAATCGCTCACCCCTAATCGGACGGGAATGTGAGAAGATGTAAATCACGGTGACTCAAACATAACACTTAGCTAGACCATATCCTAGTGCGCACCAGAGACTCTCTCCATTTTTCAGAAGTGGTCGCTCCCACACGGTCGCTGCCAGGTTTCGATCCTTGGTCATTCTCCAAACTTCACCAAGTGCTTGCCACTTGGGTACCCATGCGGGTAAGTGGATTCATGTATGGATGGTGGGTGGATTGTTGACGGGTCAATCTAATTATTAGCGGCATAAAGGGTAAATGCAATAACTTAAATTTAATTACACTCCCACTCCTGAAATAGATTATAATTTTTCTACTTAATAAATTTTATTTATTTGTATGTTTTTATTGAGTATTTTAAAAAATAAAATATTCCTGTCACTTTTCATTTTGTAGAAATTTTGATGTAGTTTTTTAATATGTAATATCTATTTATTATTAATATACGACTTTTTAAACAAAATAAATATAAAAGACAAGAAATTTTATCTCGTAACTCTCGATTTGTAATCGGATGGGGACGAATAAAATATAACTATACGTCTATTTGTAATCGGAATAATCAAAGTTGTTTTAACATGTAGCCTAATTACGGACTAATTAAACTATATAGATGCGAAAAAAATACTCCCTCCGTCCCAAAAAGAATGAGACGGTTTGACTTTCCAAAAATACTCTTAATGTGATGGGTAAATGTAGGATGTGATAGGTAGATTATTAGAAAAAAGGTATGATGTGATAGGTAGGGTTTGAAAAAGTAAAGGGTAAAAGTGGTTTTTTAATAGAAATGTAACGGACTTTACGGGACGCAGTTTTTTTAAAACATAACAAACTTTTTGGGACGGAGGGAGTATAACGTACGTCTACAAAGCAGTCATGGAAGAAGAGGCGAATGAGAGAGGCACCCATCCGAGCTTCCGCATCGACGGCGGCGTCCACCACTTCTCTGACGGCGGAGAATATGCATGCCTCGTCGGAAACCTTGCCGGAACCTAGCGAGAGAATGCTCGCCGCCGCCGGCTCTTCCCCGAAAGTGTCGGCCAGCCACGTCGGACTGGTGGCCTTGTTGATGGCCGTTTGGGTATTTTGGTAAATAGAGTAGCCTGCTAGGGTTAGTGCTATTATGCTTATGCCCAGGCTTAGCCGAGTCACAAAGGAAGCCGCCATTATCGCACGTACATGCACTTAAAGGAAGCTGATAAGGGTTTAGTTCGTTTGGTCACAAAGGAGCTAATAGTATACATGCGTGTCTATATATACTCATGCGTGGCCGGAAGGATGTGCAAAGTGGCCAACTGTACGAGACATCTAAAATTTTAAGGCCTCATATTTTTAAATTCACTATTAATTTTGAAATTTAAGTATTTTATAATACTCCCTCCGTTTCTTAAAACCCTTCCTCTTTCATTTTTTTTGTTTTTCTTAAAACACTTCCTCTTTCTATTAAAAAACCACTTTTACCCCTACTTTTTCATACCCTACCTATCACATCATACTTTTTCACTAACAACTAAACTATCACATCTTACTTTTACCCATCACATCAAGGGAAAATTGGAAAGTCAACTACAATTTAACACTTCCTTATTTTCCCCCAAAGTCAAAAGAGGAACTCTTTTGAGAAACGGAGGTAGTAATTAAATAGGACCCAAAATATAAATTTCAAACCGGACCAATTTCATTTTTTATATACTCTCCGTGTGTCATTAAAGTCTCAATTGGAATTCAAAAAAATAATGGTAAACTTTATTAGAGTAAAATTTACACAAATCATACATTACATATCTATCTTAGGGTTGAGCGTGAAATCCGTTCCCGTTGGACCGTTTTGTAATTGTACCGATTAATTGGGACACATTTTTTTATCCCGAACCCGTTCCGTCCCAATATCAAATGAGACATGACCGGGATAGCTTAAATTTATAGAGATCCCTCCCGCTTGTCCCGTTTTATCTACTCTACTAATATACGGAGTATAATACTAATTCTACTCCAAAATCCAAATACACTCATTCTTTAATTAATTAATTTAATTAACTTTATAGGCTTGAGATTTCAGCCCAAAGTTTATTAAATTTATTTGGTCCCGTTTCACTCATTATTTTTTGTTAGATGACTAGATGTTTCTTTTTTTGAATGACATGTGTGATTAGGACAAAGTAGGGTGGGACTGTTTCGATCCCGAACTTTGTGGGACAAACCAGAATAAGATTGTAATCCGAACCGTTTTGGACTGTTTATATATAACGGGATAAAATGTGGGACAACTTAAAATCCGGACCGTCTCGGCCCGTGCCCACCCCTAATCTATATGTACAAACATGAATTTTGTCGGGCATCATATCTATTGCAACAAAGTTCATTTGACATTAATGACTAATATTATAATACTTTCTCCGTCACATAAAATATTTCCATTTTGACTCTTAGAAACTTTATGTGAGGGGTAATTTTGAATTGGTTTTCTAATAATATCATTGATGTTCCAAAATTACGTCAAAAGTGTTCCAAAATAAGAGGAGATGCCAAGAATTTGTCACATTATGCATTCAAAACGAAGCGAAACTTCAAATTTTTCAATTCATTTTTGTTGAAATATATTAAATCCGACACTGAAAAGAAAAAGAATCGTTATATAGTCTCTTGAGTTGAACTACGTTTTTAATAAATTAGATTTAATATTCTAATAAATTCAGCCAAGTGTCTTATGACGTAATCTAGTAAATCTTATCATATCCTTTCAATTGATTATCAACTTAAGGGGAGATGTCGAATTATCTAACATCAGAAATTAAAGAGAAAATTATTGGTTTATAACCTATTGAGTTGAAACGAGCTGAGTAATAGTGTGGAAATCTTTTAATCTGGTTTATGCAAGGGTCATATGGTCGAATCCATTGACCCTTACTCCACCCTAAGTTCTATCAGTTTTATTTAAAGATTAATAAAGAAGTAAATATTGAATTTAGATATTTAAAAGCTATATTAAAAGTTTATCAAAATAAGAGATGACTAAAATATTCTATTTTATCAAATAATTGATCCACATAAAGAAAAAAAATTGTATTGTTTAAATAATGAGTTGTGACATTTTTTTGAGTATGAGATTATATATGTGAGAAATTTACTTAAATAGCACTAAAACATAATGAATTTCCCTAAATAGCACCACATGTGTTTTTTTCCCAATGTCGCACTTTTAGTCATTATTCAAGTAAATATTCGTCATCATTGGACATTATAGACATTATTAAGTGCTATTTAGAGAATAAAATAATTTAAGTGCTATTTAGGGAAATGACTTAAGTTTTAGTGTTATTTAGTGTAAATATTTCTTATATATGTAGCCGTACCTCTATCACCAATCTTATCCAAATTAATTCTACTCCTCAATTGTATGTACTCCGTATATTATACAGTACTCCGGTTTTCCCGTATGCCGTTGTTGACCTCAACATATTCAAGATTCCGGTCGGGTGCATGTGCGGCTCCGCCAGACCGGCCGGGTAACATAATTCAAATTCAAGCATCGAACTTTGCCGTGTTTCACGGATGATTTGGGGGGGCAAGTTGGGGCGACTTACTATTTTTAGCCAAACCGTTGACGTTATTACGGAGTATGACTTTAATGTTTGTGGAACAAGTCCAAAGTTGGCCAACAAAAATTGACATTTTACTCCCTCAATCTCTTCAATTTTTAACTCGGACACTCCTCGGTTGTAGTTTTTAACTCGGTGGAAATGTTCATTTCTTATGAAAGAGTTTTATTTATAACTTGCTGTATAAATAAAAAGTACATACTATATTATTTCAAACTATATCAAAATTTCTACAAAATAAGAGATGACTATTCTAGATAATTTTATTCTACAAAAAACTAATGAATAACTGATACAAATATAAGTTATCGAAAAGCACAAAAGTAAACAGAAGAAAGATCTGAGACGTAGGATTAGTCATGTAAATTTTATTTAATAAATGACAAATTTTCTTCCAGTTTGACTGCAAAAATTAAATTAGACAAGTAAATTGGAATGAGATTAATTATTTAAGTAGTTAGGATATGGCCTTGCTTAAAAAACATTTTCCATTAACTAACGTTTTGGGGTAAATTCTAATATTGTAGATTGATTGTGAAAATATTAATTCTAAAAGCTATCATCAGATAATCTTCTCAAAACGTTGAGCCAACCTCTAACCATAGTGAATTAGTGATGCCTAATAGGGGCAGTATCTTCTTTCACTACTAATTTATTTGAATCATTTGTTACTATATAAAACAGATAAGATTTCTCCTTGTTTTCTAGAATTTTCTTGTAAATTTCAAATTATGGAGTGATTTCTTATATTTTACGCGGCTTGAACGCAATTATAAATTTTATGTTTCAAATCCTATAGGATTAGCAATTAATTTGGACAAAGATAGAGAGCCTATTTGGGAACAACGTTAATAATTAGCGTATGCGTTTTGGATAAAATTTTAACGGTACAGATTATATTGAAAATGTTAACACTTAACACTATCTGTAGATAACTTTTTTAAATATGCAAACGCTAATTTCTAACGTTATTCCAAAACAGGCCCAGAATGATATGATTAGTTAAGGAAATAAAACAAAAAAAGAAAATAAAACCATATTTAGCAATTCTATTATTGATAATTGTCCACGCATGTGCCGTACATTAATTTTGTGTCGTACTACTAGTCATCAAGAGCATTTACACAAACACACACCGGCCTCTTCTGCATTCATTTATTGCTTAGCTTAAAACATGGGGGAAAACCCAAAGGATCGCCGCCCGGCGGCCGGGCGGGGGCCGCGCGTGGCCTTCAGACGGATGCAACGCCGGCGGAGTTGGCATTCACCTTGCTGCATACATCCCGGATTTCGAGCTGGACTCCGGGGGACGGCGGCAGCTTGCTCATCTTCACCATCGCCGCCGCGAAGTCGGCCAGGAAAGAGTCCATGGCGTCCCGGTACCGCTTCACGGCGGCGCTGGTGGTGTTCCCCTTCATCAGCTCATTGTCTGAGAACAAAAGGCCCCGACCGCTGGCCACGTCGGAGTAGTAACGCTGGTCGAACTTCACGGGAGTGGGGTCGAGACCGACCAGTCCCGTGGCGTTCGGGGTCGTCTGGCAATTGCATTGCAACGTGGAGGCCCGAGCCGGGTTCACGAATGAGCTGACGCATAGGAGCGGGCATCTGGCGAACCCTATTGTGTGTGAGCCTAACAGCGCCACCAACTCCGTTTGGTTAAACCCTTTGTCGGCGAATTTCTTCACCTGCGACGCCAAGTTCTCCGATGGCCCGACGAGTTGTGTATTAGCTCCGGTGAAGTTCGCCGTTCTTGCATCTTTTCTGCCAAGACTCACTGCGTACGTTTTTCCCGTGAACTACAAAATAGATACACAAAAGGTTTGATTTTGAAATGGTAGGCCGAAGAATGATTTTTATATTTTAATTACGGTAACAAAAAAGTAGGGCTAAAAGTCAGTTATAATAAAAAATTAAAGTGTTTTAGAAAAAGAGAAAAAAATGATATTGAAAGTTTTTCAAAAAACAGAGAGATTAGTATGTAAGTTTAGCGGATGATCATAACTACCTTTTGGAAGGAATCGCGGGCAGCGATGGAAAGAATGTCTGCGCAAGAGACGGGGGTGTCGGGGCATTTGGTTTTTGCGTTCTGTTTGGCGTTGTCTATAACCTCAAAACCTCTGACGGAGTTATTGTTGCCGCCGGCAGTCTGTTCGCCGGTGAAAGTCGGGGTATCCTTTAGAAGAAGCCCTGCGTCGCAACCCTGCAATTCATTCCACCACCGAAAATATTACTCTCTCCGTACCGAAATAGATTACAATATTTTCTCACATTTTTGTCTCAAAAAGGATTATAAAATCAATAACTTTATAGTGATTTGACTCTTTTACCCTCTCTTTTCTTTTCTGCAAGCCACTATTCACACTATTTGGGGGGATTTGGGGGGTAATTTGGGGGAAAAAATTTGATTTGACTTTTTCTTAGTTTCAACTAAAAAAGAATATTGTAATCTAAAGTGGGACGGAGGGAGTATGAAATATTTGCACTAAATAGTACTACAATTTAAGTCATTTCACTAAATAACAATTAAACTGTTTTATTTTCTAAATAGCACTTTATAATGTCTAGAATTAGGAATAATGTCTAATGATGGCGAACATTTAGTTGAATAATGAATAATGGATAATTTTTATTT